TTTTTTTTTATTTGGAAAACAAGCATTTGAAATGGATGGCGGTTGTGAAATTGGGAAATGCAATTTTAGGATTAGAGTACAAGCACTCTCTCTTTCAGGAGTAGATAGCTTGTTTCGTTTAGTAATCACTTCCACCTGTTCTTTTATTCGTCTTTTTCCAAAAAATCTGCCCTGCATTTCCTAGTGCACCGGAATCGGCCCAACATTCGTTGAGCTTTTTCGTCTAATTCCGTCAACTTTCGGTGAAACACGTGCATCGTTGTTCTACTGCTAAGAGTAATTCGCTGAGGCAATTTTGATGCCACTGGGCGTTCCATGAAATCGGCTAGCAAGAAAATGCATTTTTTCTCCTAGGATTTACTAGTTCCTTTTAGAATAAAATTAGAAAGCGGAATATCGGGACCTGCGTATTCAAATTTGCATCTTGAGTTTAGCTAAACGAATAGTTTCGGATACAGTGTTTTCTGTTATGTAAAATGTATTTTAACATATTTGAAGTGAAAAATGCAATTTCCAGCATTTTGTATGATAGGCTAGCGTATTATGCTGGTCAATTACGTGCCAGTTTTGCTGAGCCAGCAATTCCAGAAATGTTTATCGCGGTCATCAGACACACGTTTGTCGGCTTCTGCACACAGATGCCTCAAAAATTTATATTAACTTTAAACAGTTGTTATTTTTTGTACGAAATCTGAAACGGATAGCATACGCTTGTATGTAACACACTAAAAGCGCTTCGTAAGCTCGAATAAGACCAAAAGTTGATTTTTTTGTCCTTTCTTATCAATATCAGGAAAGAATTGTGCTCTGTGATGAAATCATCAGCTGGGCTGCTCATGAGAACGCGTGTTGTCCAGCGCGGTGAGCATTAGGGACAAGTAAATTCAGTATAACAGTACTTGGGATGAATTACATAATGAAAGTGGTCGTAAATGTTTCTTTTGTATAAATATGTGTGTAATCAGCGACTAAGGGTAGCGAGCCGGTGCTGGTCACTCACTGGCTCTGAAAGTAATGCTGAGGGAAGTGATGGGGCAGGATGCAGAACTTTTCAGATTTCAACAGCGTTAGTGCATCCTAAAAGTTCGAGGTGCACCGAAGCGTGCTCTAAAGAGCTTTTTCGCTTTCCAGTAGCGCCCCTCTACCGAACATTTAAAAATTCTTTAAATGCTGCCCTGTTGCAGTTCAGTGGGTACTGGCCACACTAATAAATGGCGCTGCTCGGATGCACTTTAAAAGAAAAGCATTTTTGAAAACTCCAGACAGTGATCAGGTCTTTGTCTGCATTTTCAAGAGATATTTTTTGGTCTGAAGAGCCGGAGATTTTTAGAAAACGAAATTTGTAGAGGATATAGATCCTGCAGGACAAAATTTCAGATCAGGATAAACTTTGCTTTTTCTGCATGAATGTGATATTTTTGTTAAGCCATATTTTTACCCAGTTAATGTTTGTTCTCCATCAATTTGTCATAACATCCGAATTTCCTGTATACTGCGTCTTCAAGCTCTGTGTGTGCATGAAATCAATCTTCGCTTGAAAAAGCTTTAAGTGGCAGGTTGACGACAGCTGCTATATGAGTAGTAGTTGTCATCAGTACTGCACGCTTCACCAAATGGTTCCTTTTCCAAGCTGCACTTTCACTAATATGCTTCTTCGCAATTGGCTTTGCAGTAGTGTAAACGCTTCAAGCAGCTTTGACCTTATGCAGCTGAGGAAAACTCTGTTTCATCCCCTTTAGGGTATTCATGCTATGATGCTTGAGGGTGAAAGAACTCGAGTCGCTCTTGCCTTACGCCTTAAAAATTAGCCATTAATAACCCTGTTGCTGATATATACAAAATCAAAAAAGAAAAAATAATCAGATGAAAAAAAAATGTTTCGGTTCATTAATTCGTATACATTCCCATTCAGAATCACAACTGGACCTCATCAGTGTACGACATCTGTGGTGTTGAAATGTGAAGAAAAGGTAATGTAAATGTAAACGTGAATAAAAGGATGGTATTTTGGAGGACTGAGAAAAATGCTGATAGCAGCTTGAGTTACGACACGACATTTTTTCGAGCAGGCTAGTATCACTTTGGTATTGAAATGAAACACCCTGAATAACCCTTACGTAAGTGCGAGACAGTCAACGCAAAAAAAAATTTAGTGGTGCACCAGAAAGCGTGCCAGCTACTTGAGCCTAAAGTTGCAGGACGGAAATGCTAAGTTGCCGAAGCACTAGTGAAATTTTGCTTTAAGAAAAATTATGTTGCAAATCTGGATTATGTGCGGTCAGCATTGTAAAAGGCATTTGTTCGCTTTGTCCATTAGCTGTGTACTGGCAGTTGGCACAGAGAAGTAGCAATTTCGGGTAAAGAGAGTAGCGGCAGCCTGAAGTGGACCGGATGATCGATGGCTCTTTTCGAAGATCAGAGGCGATTACAACTATCCAACTCACTGATGGCCAGCTTCCATTGAAACGTTTAGTGAAGAATTAGTGCTGCTCTGACACATTTGGATTTCACGGGAGTGAAGGGATTTTTAAAGAATTCGCAGTATTTCTTATATTTTATATTCTCCTGGAACATCCTTCTTTACACGCATACCTAGTACAATAAAAAAATTATGGCGTTTTTTTTAAGGGGAGGAAGGTGTGCATTTAGAGAAGGGAATCCGAGAAGGTTGCTTCACCATTCACTTTCAACTTGATAAGCTGACCAGAGCTTCTACTTTCCATTTCGTCACCCAAGATAACTGTCTCTGGATGATACCCTTATTGTTACTTCATACAGCTGCAGCTATACTCCAACTTACTTCCATGCCACCAAGAGAGCTCGACATTTTTTTATGCTTGTTGTAACCGAAGCTGCATCACCTGGCAACTAGCATTATTGGGATCTTGACGTCCACTTCTTTTCTTTCTTTTTCCTCCTTTACGAAAAAAAACCCTAGATTTTATTACGTTTCCTCCATCGCCTCTGATTTTCATAATAGTTGTTGCTCGTTGCGCGCCCTTCACTCCAATCTTTTTTCAACAAGCCCAAATTCAGAGAAAACTTATAATCCAAGAAACAAGTTTGCGATTTTAAAGAAAAACTCTCTAATTGTTTAAAACGCAGCAGTTTTGAAATAAGCAGCCTTTTTTTTACCCTAATCAATGAGCTCAGATTCAAATTCGTTTTGTTTTGGCATCCCAAGAACAAACAAAACTACGAAATCCTGCAAGTTAAAGTTATTGCGCGTTGTGTCTTATCAGGTCAAGTCCTATTCCAGACTTCGATTTGCCAGGGCGAAGAGCGGACAGCTGTATTTGCGTTTAGAATTGTAATAAGAAAATATTCACTCTCATGCGTTGCTGCTGATTTTGAATAATGTTTTATTTGGCTGATTGTTCTGCCAAATCACCTTCCTTTTTCTGTCATCAGTTGCTTTCTTATTTCTTTTCTTCTGTTATGGTTGATTATCTTTTCGTTTTTGAAGGGCAATTGACGCCAACTATGCCAACTGTTTCCTTTTTGTACGTTTTGCGTGAATTATCATGAAAATTCGGCTGGGCGAAGCCGTTTCTGCTTGTATAAACCATCTTACATTTTAAGTGGGGTACTGTACTTCAGAAAAGCTGATTGATTTAAATACAATACAATAAAATATAAAGATTACAAAAATCAGGAAAGTCCCCTGCCCGCACCTTCGTACTTCTAACAGATTAAGTTATTTGTGAGATTTTGTCTTCGACAGATGCCTCATAAGAAAGTTGTCAACAATGTACCGGGGAGTCATAAATCACTCCGCCTTGAGAAGAGACGAACGGCGGCCCATAAGAGGGATATAGTTTAAAAAGAGGAGAACAAACAACTCAGGGTCAGTTAGTCTTTGTCAGCACTCTGGAAGCAGCAGTTTTCATCTGCGTATTGGGAGCAGCATTCATCAGCAGTGTTGTCTGGTAGCGTACTTTCTTGCTTCGCGACGTAGTTCGACAGCTGCCTGCAGGCAAGTAGTTTACATGTTGGCGCCAGGATAACAAAGTAAGACTCAAGGAAGCAACTTCTAGAGAGTCAAGTTGGTGGCGCCAGATCTAATCGTATAAGGCCAGGACTCAGAGGTCCACGCATCTCATGCTCGTCGTGTAATTTACTTAGTGCAGCACGGAGGGTAGACTTCGATAGCCTACCACCGGGTATATTTTCCAGGACTAATAAAGCCAAGCACCGCACTGCTCAGCCACGGTCCACAAAGTATCTTTGGGTCAGACGCTTAGCCTTAGGTCCGAATCAGTACGTCTTCCACAGTGACCCATATCTTCTCACTGTCCCATTTCATAATATTATATTGCATTATAAAAATTCTTACTCTTATATGTATTTTCTGCGTATGTGTATCTGTTTGTCAAGATGATTCAATCTGAAAAAGGAGGATGAAAAATTTCAGGCATCGTCTCTGGCCATGTAGGGATCCAAAACAGAGCAAACGATTTTTACGCCCGCCTGCACCTCCTGACCTAAAGAGCGTGATGATCTGTCTGGAGATTCAATCTCCAGCTGCACAATAACATATGAAGTATCAGATAGCAGATGCACGTTTCGAGTGTCATCAGATCAGCCGAAGTCGGGTTTCAGTGGCTGCTGTTTTCGCTCACTGTATGCATTTTAAAACAAATTTAATTCTTGTCGTCACTATCGAATGGCAGCAGCATCCGATTATGGTTTCAGGGTTGCATTATAAATGATTAGCGAGCGAACTTCGTTGAGATACTCGCCAAATGGCGAAGTGGAGCCGTGGATTATCAATGACGCTACCAGTACCATATTTATCTCCCCCGGTTAGCGTCGTTTTTTCGCGAATATCTTTGCTATCTGAAGCTAAATTCATGCACGCAATCGTTTCCGTTGCCCTCACACTGAACAGATATAAGCAGTCTGTTTTCGGATATTAGCAACGATGATCCGTTGTAAACTAACATCGCGTGCGCTTGTGATCTCGCTTGTGAGAAAGGGCTTTCTCATCATTTTTTAGCGCACAGGACAATCTCATCATTTTAGCTGTGCTTAGGAATTGCTCTCTTCACCGCAGTATATGTTTCTCGAGTGCTGAACTCAAACTGGAGGACAAATTGAATCAAATCAAGGTCAATTTAGAATCGGTGGACAGCTTTCCATCACAGTGTGCATTGCTAAATCAGAAGCGGTCGAGTTTGTTGGGGCAATGCATTGTACTCATTCTGGTGCTGGCTGTCTTCCTCATTGGCGTACTTCTCGCGTTTTTGATAGGACACTGGTCTGCTAAGTCGCGAAAAAGTGCGGAGCATTTGGTTGGTTGATTGTCCAATTTTTAGCCACGGTTCACTTAAGGCAGCAGTTCCTAAAACTGCCAGAGAATTTGTTTTCGGCTTTGCCGGATAGGCATTTCCGAAAGGCTTGTCGAAAAATATGCCGTAGAAGTACTGATTCTCAGAATCTTGGATGTTTTAAGACTCCTTTTGATATTCGAACTAAGAACTATGCAAAAAACGCATCTTCACACGGGCAGCCCGTGCGTTGGCCAGTTATTAATTTTTCTTTCTGTGCTTGAATATTTTAAGATTTGTTATTTTCTCCTTCCATACGCAAATATTGTAAAGTGTGCAAGTATGTATTTTGCACTTCTTTGAAAGGATAAAGTGGAACTACTGAAACTGCTTGCACAACACAAAAATTGCTCCACATGAAACCAGGCAACACAAGGTTCACACAGGAGAAAACATGCAAAAACTCATGATCGCTTCTGCCCTCCGGTGCGCGTCTTCAATGATTTGTTAGCAACAGCTGTAGCAACTTCGTAAATAATCACCATCAAAATTATGTACTTCGAATTACAATCATAATTGTTGCATTTAAGGTAACATCGCCAATCAGCACAACAACGACAAAAGCGAGCACTGATCCATCTCACAGCACTGCTGAATTTGTTTCGGTGTTTTTTTCTTTTTCATTCTGTGCGTACCGTTTCTTCGTAATTAGAAAGAGATGGGCTTATTTTTATAACTAAGGATGAAACATCGCAAAAGTGTTTACAAGAAAATTAGATAAGAAGTTAAACAGAAGATAATTAATTGAAAATCCTATTAAAAAAGGTGAGTTGTTTTTAGTGAAAACCAGAAAGGGTCTCTTAGAAGATAGGAGTCGGTCTTATCCCAAGATCCGGACTGGGCATGTGAACAAATAATGCGATGCTTCAAGAAGCCAAAACGATAGCATTTTGTGGACATTAGATTCTGGCGCATGTAAAAAGCCACTGGACTGTGGCCTTTTTTCCATTTAGCAGCTACAACTTTATGGCTTGCCGGAAATTAATGCTGGAAGCTATGAACCTGAAACTGGGTTGATTAGAGTACTAAATATTAAAACCTGACTTATTCCTTATCTAAACGTCAATAGGTGAATCAAGTCAACAAACATTACACGGTTATAATTTGCGTCATCCGGGGCTGTGAGTTCAAGACTGATTTTCTTGTGCAAAACATAGATGTGGA